CCCCAAAACCCCAAAACCCCAATCATCAGAATGTTTGGATTAGACTAAGGAATATTTATTGCTCAATTAAAATATATAGTAAGATAATGCATCAAAGTCTATAGATAGCCAACAAGCATAAGAGCTACCATCTTGACCAATCAGACCTCGTTTACTACATTGAACACTCTGATTACACCATCACCTCCTGCCATTGCGAACATATCTCCTGAGTTACTGAAATCTACAGTGAAGGTGGCTCTGCTAAGATCTCTGATTTGAGCGCAAGGCTTGAACAAAGTATTTCCATCGAACACTTTTACCTCATTGCTTCCACTACCTCCAGCAATAATCAAATCACCAGTAGTCTTTTGGAATTGAGAGCAATATACTTGGCAAGCATTTTATGAAGAGAGACCCTCATTCCAAGGAATATCCTCTATAAATTCACAGGTTCCAAAGTCCCAAAGTTACAACTGTTTATCTCCTCTCCAAGAGCCAGTCAAAATATAACCATCATGGATATCAAGTGCATCTCCACAAATGTATGGCCCATAGATAGATCTCACTGGAGATTATTGTCTCAGGTCCCAAACCTTAACATTATTATCCCAACCTCCAGAGATGATCATGTTCTCATCTTCTTTATCAAACTTAACTGCGAAAACTCTGTTATTGTGTCCTGGCTCTCCGGTACCACCTCCAGCTAATTCAGCTCTTAACTTTCTAGTTTATTCATCATACACTCTAACAATACAATCACTACCTCCTGTAGCAAACATTGTTCCATCTGGCTTGTAATCCACTGTCAGGAGTTGATTGAGTTCATCATGAATGGTGTGAAGTAGCTTTCCACTAGTAGTGTGCCAGTGTTGCAAACTACCATTTGAGTTGACTGAAATAAGCACGTTCTTTGTAACTCCAGGAGCGTTTAATGGACGCCATCTAAGTTCAAATTTTTAAAAATCTAAGCTTGAATTACCTAATTTGAGTTGTTGGCATAGGTTCTTCCATGTTTTAATTCAAAACATAACTTTATTTGCCTGTGAATACATTGAATATTCTGATTGAGCCATCACCACAACCTAGTTAGATAAGACATACTATGTAAATTACCCGCAGCAATATATTTATCATTTGGATCATATCTAACACAGAATGTTTGAGTTGTGAGATCTCCAAGAGTATATTTATGGGAAATTTTGACATCAGAGTTCTTGATACACTCAAGACTAAAATTTGATTAGATGGGCGTGGATTGAATCGTACGTAAACTTTTCGGAGACAGGAGTTTGATTGTCCTCCTCCTTTGCCATTTCGGTCATCATTTTTGGAAAATAGAAGTATTAAAAAATTATTAATTAAAATTAAACTTATTTAAAAATATTCATTTGCCCACTCTCGTGGGGTTTTGGGGTTTTGGGGTTTTGGGGTTTTGGGG